ATTCCTATTATTATTCTACCGTTTATTAATAAAAATATTTCTTGCAAAACCTTAAAAATAAAATTTTGGATTCTTCCTTCTCATATACTGTACCCTTAGTTCTTTATTTTTAAAAATCTTATTTGGCGGTTACTCTCAATTTTCTCAATTTTCTGAGCAATGAATTTACTTTTTTATATCAAATTTTAATGAATATCAAATCTTATAAACAAGATGTTGAAAATATTGATATTGGTGATTGTGTCTCCAAGATACCATTTCCTGTTGACAAAATAGATGCATTTGACGAAAATATCCTTGTTTTTACCCGGATTGTTATTTATTACGACTTTAAAATTTTAGCATTAGAATCCGATGATACATATCTATGTTATTTTCAATGGCAAAACAAATCAACACATAATAAACAAAAGAAAATAGGTACATTATTGTATTCTTTAATGAATAACGAAATTTCACTAGTAGACTTTATAATGCAAGATCAACAGTTCTCTCTTAACCGTTACATATGGTGGTGTCTAGACCAAAGCGTTCCAGAATTCTTCAATCAGATACTTTTCATTGTTTTTACGCATTTCGATCAAGATTTTATCTTTTATAGCGGTCTTTTTTCAAATATTATTGATAATTATAATGATTACAATTCTAGCAAGAAAAATTTTTTCGTTCAGATAATTTGCTATTGTATCTTAAATTTCGAATTTTCACAGAACGATCAACAAATAATGTACCACTTTTTATTGGAGGAAGGACTACTTGAATCATTTAATAATAACAGTCTAAGATTTAAAATTGATTTATTGTTGGCTCTTGAAAAATGCTATTGCATATTCGGAAAGTATGATTTTATGCATGACAAAATTGAATTAATAGATTTATCATATGAGAGCCAATTATTCGAAGAAAATTGCCCAAATTTCTTAGAATACTTGATTGAATTAACAGATGAGGATGGTTCATAGAAGTTTATATGAGGATTTACTTTGAATAAATATAATTTTAATGAATTAAAAATTAATTTTATATATTTGGCTATTGTTATTATTTTTAGAGTATATGAGTTGGGGCAAAGTGAAACAAATTTTTGACATAAAAGAAAGTCTTTGAAGAGAGTTAAAGAGAAATTTTTAAAAGATTAAAAAAATAGCATATATAAAATTTAAGGATTTGATATGGTAAGGAGATATTATTTGTGACTGTCTCACAGAATGAGACGTTTCTCTACAATCTTCTTATTCCACATTAATTTTCTTCTCAAATCAAGTTTTTATAGTATACTAATTTTTATTATGAATATACTATAGAGGCATTACATACAAACACACCTATTCATCACAAAAATTCACCTAATCTTCCAATCTGTATGTTTTATCAATTGTTATCATTTCATATAATAACAATTTATATGTTTGACTAATCTAATTTCATATTTTCCTATTAAATACTAATTTACACAAAAATGGTTTTATCAAATCTTTATGAAGTTATTAAATTCCAGATTATATTGCTTACTTTGCAAGCTAACTATAATATAGTGTGATAGCCTTATTGAACTTTGATCAAATACTCCTTCGTCCGTTAAAAATTAAGATGCGTTTAAAAAATCGGAAAAAAATTCTTTTGTTTTATTTTTAATTTTTCAACCGATAAAACTTTTTAGAAAAACTCCAAATTCCAAGAAATGCTTAGATTCAATATGAAGAACATATTCATACAGTCATTTCGTTTCAAATTTCAATTTTCAAATCGAACAAAGCTGCAAATTTGAACACTTTACAAAATTTTGAAACGTCTTTTCCCGAATGAATATTGAGTTTCAAGCCGGACAAGCTATAGCAAAACAGATCCTTATGACCCACTCTATCATTTTGGTTTTTTTTGCAAAACGTGGGTAAACACCCATCTCATAACACATTTTTTGCAAAATTTGGTAAAATCCGTGTAAATGCTCAGATACATGTGGCCAATAATATTTGAATACTGACAGGTCCGGATATTAGGTTTAAATAGCTGATTTAATTCGAAATATGAAAAAAGATGAAATCTCAATGTAATATAGTAAATTAAGAATCAGTATGAATGGTTATATGATTTTGATAAAAGAAAACTGAAGGGAATAGAACAAAATTTGAATCTCAGAATTTAAAAGTAAATAGAGAAGAAAAAGTGGCCTTAGGGGTTTTATGATAGGTTATTGTCGGGTATTAGAAGTGAACGTGTTGAAAAGAGATATTCAGTTAATATGAGACAAAATTAAAACAAGAATTGAAGATTGTGTATGAATGTGTCATTCTGGGAGACTTGCATAGACAATGTCTCCCACAATGACGCATAGCACACAATAACAATGCACTGTTGCACTTTGTTGACAAAAGATACACAATCAGAAGAAGATTGTGTATGAATGTGTCATTCTGGGAGACTTGCATAGACAATGTCTCCCACAATGACGCATAGCACACAATAACAGTGCACTGTTGCACTTTGTTGACAAAAGATACACAATCAGAAGAAGATTGTGTATGAATGTGTCATTCTGGGAGACTTGCATAGACAATGTCTCCCGAAATGACACATATAGATAAATAAAAGCATAATATGCTATTTTGTGTTCAAAGTATTACAAAATGATTCTTCTCAAAGTTGCTCAGTGAACAACAAACACTTGTTATTGTTTATAATTCAAGTGAATGTTGTACACAAAGACAACAATTGTCTATCAATTGTTGTCTTTGATTCAACTTTGACAAGAATCACAAATGATTCTTATCAAAGTTGCTCAGTGAACAACAAACACTTGTTATTGTTTATAATTCAAGTGAATGTTGTACACAAAGACAACAATTGTCTATCAATTGTTGTCTTTGATTCAACTTTGACAAGAATCACAAATGATTCTTATCAAAGTTGCTCAGTGAACAACAAACACTTGTTATTGTTTATAATTCAAGTGAATGTTGTACACAAAGACAACAATTGTCTATCAATTGTTGTCTTTGATTCAACTTTGACAAGAATCACAAATGATTCTTATCAAAGTTGCTCAGTGAACAACAAACACTTGTTATTGTTTATAATTCAAGTGAATGTTGTACACAAAGACAACAATTGTCTATCAATTGTTGTCTTTGATTCAACTTTGACAAGAATCACAAATGATTCTTATCAAAGTTGCTCAGTGAACCACACCCATTAATTCTTTTTGATATTACACATTAGGCTAACCAACCACACCAGTCATTTTATTTATATAGCTTTTATCCGTAACATTTTTAAAGGATTTCAAATAATTTACTTTTTCAAATATTTACTAGTTAATATCTCAATCAATTTATCCTCTTATTTATATTTTTAAAAATTTTCATCTCCATCACCATTCAATTTGGAATCTCATTTTTAAAATATCTTAATATAATCAGAATTTTATTAGTAGGTTAAAATATTTGCGAATATTAATTATTTGGATCAAAGCTTTCATACGATTACATTACTTTTTTTAATCGAAATTCTATTTCATTACTACTCAATTTTAAATCATAGCAGCATTAATAGCTCATCTACTTATATTCCATCATAATGTTATTTTATTCAATTTTTATATATCTGATTTTCATATTTTTTCAAATTCTGTCGCACAATCTTTAAAATTGTTATATTTCCTTACAACACGGTTAATATAGTATTCTCCTTAACTTGTTTAAATGCAATTTTGCAATATTTGGAAATGATCAAAATATCCTAATGTAAACGTTTGCTCTTAGAATTCAGTGTCATAGTCGATTGTTTCTAACAAATTAATCTTTTTTGCATTGATTTTCGAAGTATTGCATTTTCATTACGGCCAAATCTGCTCTCTTTCATTAGATTGATAGCTCACAATAGTTCTTGTAATCAGAGAGGAAATATCTTACGAAATATACCTCTAAATTTTCACTTTATAGATAAATGTTATATTTTTCCGTTACTCGATTATTGTCCAATAAAACCACAATCATATTAAACTTCGTCCAAAATAAACAATAAAGAATAGTTTTTAAGTTTCTTAAACGGTTTATGAAGGTTCATATTTAATCGATTTTTTTATTTTCAATTCATGTATCTATAGTTCGTTAGTCTATCATCCCTTCATAAATTATCTGCAAAGAATTTTGTAGAATCTCAACTCTGTGAGGAACTACAATAAATTGAAAAGTCATTTTGTGATATCAAAATCCAATATATTATTCTTTCTAATACATATTAATAATATCTTGAGATGTAGTACACTATATATGTACTTTCAAAAATCTTATATGTTTATTAGTTATTGAGATAGAAGCGATTTAATTCTTTGAAAATCGACGAAAAGTGCCATATTCATAAAATTATAGGGTATTTTTGAATAAATGTTTTAGCTTCAGATTTGACATCTTTATCATTTCATCAAATAAAAACAAAATTTGGTTTTCGTTAATGATTGTATTTTCTTTCAGAAATCAAAATTTTCTCTTATTCATCTATGAAAAGAAAATGATAGTAAATTAATATATAAAATACATAACAATTTATTCTTTGGTTAGTTTGGTAAATGAATGTTATAACATTCTTATTATAAAAATAAAATTCATGAAAATTAAACAACTAATATAATATAAAATAATAAAATAGAACATACATATATATAATCAGTGACTCCAAAATTTTGGTTCAAAATAAAAAAAAAATCTTTGAAATTTGGAGAAAAAAAATCATATTGTCTACAGCCAAATAGCAAAGAATTCCTTTGTTTGTTTGCAAAATTCTATTTTTTTCATGAACAATTTAGAATTTGCTCGCAAACGATTTTTTTTGAGCCAAAATTTTTTTCTTCAAAATTATTTCCATCAAAATTTATAAATTTCAATTCCAATAATTTTGAAGCTTAAAAAAATTTAGAAATTTTCTTGTTGATATTATCAAAAAATTATCAGAAAAAGTAACACGAAAATTTCCAAAATTTTTTGTTGTCGATAAAAAAATAATTAATCGAATTGGTCATCTCTATTAAATGACTTAAGAATCTCTTCGGAACCTTCGAATCTATGGAAAACCCTTGAGGAAGTTGTGATTGTTGAATCGCTGCTGCTACTTCCAGATAGGCTAAATCTATCCTTCCAATAAGAAGAATCTGGTCCAGGATCTTCAGAAGGAGGCATTATTCCCACTGATTCAAACTTCTGTCTCATTGGCTTAGAGCAGAGAGCGTCACCAAGTATTCCTAGTTCTTCTTTGAGACAAGGTATGAAAGGGAATGATTGAAATGTTGCTTCGTTTTGTAAGACAAACATAATTGTCATTTTCCAAAAATCATCAGGATGAAAAGTGTTGATCCACAGATCGATTGAATCTCTTATCAACAAAGCTCCTTCATTCTGTTTTCGAAGGAAGTTCAAAGCTTTCTTCGCTGAGATTTCTATCTGGTTGGAGCCTTTCTTTTCTATAAGAGATTTCACTGCATGTCGAAATGCTTTCTTTCTTGAAACAACTCCACATGAAGGAAACTCTTTCTCGATCTCTTCAACTTCTTCTTTGCACGAAAGACCAATTGATGAACGGAATGATGGATGTGAAGGAGGTCGTAATGGAACAACAGTCTTGGTAAATGATGAAACAGCTCCAGATCGTGATCGAACAGCAACACGACCAAAACGGGATGGCATTGAGTAATTATTTAATAATGCGCTGAAAAATGTTTGAACTGTATCGACATCGTTGATGAGAACAAGAAGATTAAGCATCTGTGATAAGTAATCAGCGCGTTGGACTCGGAAAATGATTAATGCAAACGAATACCACGTACTTTGGTCAAGAGCTGGAGCAAACGGGATCAATTTAGAGAAATCAAGTTCAATGTTAAAGATTGAACCTGTATCTAAATCGACAATGTTGTTTTCAAGTGGTAATGTGGAGGAACATATGCTACAGAATGAATTAGCGAGACATTTTGGTAGAACTGTGATCGATGGTGGTGTAAGGAATGCATCTATAGCACAAATGTAGTTGTTAGGAACAAAAACTATGACAATAGAATCAAATCTGGCAAAACAAAGAGGAACATCTGAAGAAATGTTGGGCGCATTGATAATATGATTGAATACTTGCGGATATGTAGATACACAGAATGATAAATGTGTCTCTGGCCCATTAAATAATTGTTGTATCACGCATCTTTTGTTGTTATGGGAAAATACGTAGAATCTATTGTTGGCATTGTGAAAGTAAGGAAGATGGAGATGGGAAAGTGGATTTAAGGCAAGCTCGTGAGGTAATTTTGAAGTTTGCATCACATTTACGTGGATTGGTGGCTCCGAATCGAAATTTTGAGAGAGCATATTAAATACAGACATAAAAACGGATTTATCATTCGAGTAAATTGCTATTAATGTACAGAGATTGTAGTCAAAATGATAGGAGATTAGATTAGGAATATGTATGCCGCCTCTAAGTTTTTCCATTTCTACAGATCTCTTCGAAATCGTTATTTTCAGATGAGTTAATCTGTTTCCTATGACATGGATCATCTGATAAACTCCATTTGCGGATCCCGGTAAGAAAAACCCGTCAATAGGGGAATCGTACTGAATTTCTTTGCTTTTGGCGTTGCCAAATATGTGGTAGATTGTTGATATAAACGAAAATCCTTTTGGCGATGGGATTCTTTCTGTTAAATGACATAATTCGTGGTCTTCTGATAAATGTGCACTTACAATATCAATATATTTCTTAAAAGATATAACAGTTGTAGACTCTCCTTTTGATGAAACTTCTTCAACCGAAGTTTGAGAGGTTGTATTAACAAGCATCAAGAGCTTATTATCATATGTAGCACCAAGTACTCTACAACGAACGCTCTTCTCGTCTTTAAGCCTGGCTGGCCGAAAGACGTCTACGTACTTGAGCATTCTCTGTTTTTCTATCGTTTTCGCGAATTTTCATTGTTTATTTTGGAAATGATAGATAAATAATACACTTTAAAACTAATCATTTCTGTCTTCGATGAATTGTTTTTACAATCTTATAATTTAAATATAATTACCTTATCAATTCAATTTTTGAAAAGATTTGTGAACTTTGACGGAAAATATAATAAAAACCAATGATTAAGGGAGTTCAAACCTAAAAATTAATAAGTTCTAATTCATTTAACGCATACATAAATAATTTGATATCAATTTGATTCAAAACTGTAGATTATTTCATTGGAAAAATATGATAGCTAAATTGGTCATAAAAATTTGAAAACATAATTGCTTTATAATTTGGAAAGTAAATTTTATATAATTTATATGCCATTTAGTGTTTGAATCAAGAATATTGAAACAAGATTTAGAAATGATTGTGATACAATCATTTCATGATAAGTGCGATAGTGACATACACTTAATACATTGTTATGATTCAAATGCTGCATATCAGTCAGCGATAGAAAATTCTTTTAGAAAGAAGAGCTGAACTTTCATATTAGAAACATGACATTACGTAAGTATCTGCACATCCAATTTTTTGCCCATTAATTATAAGCAGAGAATAGAATTGCTGGAAAATCTATTTCAAACATTATATAGCTACATTTTTGCAATCTAATATTAATATGCTCATACAATTTTTCATGATAATATCGAACATCTTGACTAGATATGGCATGATGGTTTAGATCTTTATATATTTTGTGATTTTCATGTTTTTCTAATGTTTGATTAAAGAAATCTAAAATTTGGATAAGTATCCCTTAGAGTATCTGCAATCAACATGATTTAATAGACTATCTACAAAAAAGAGCTCAATAATACAATTACTATATATGTGTTCAAGGTATTGAAGCTATAAAGAACTTTCATTTTATTAAAGTCGTCACGGAGAATTAAATCAAAAATCACACTAAAGTCGTTTGAGGTATTTTATTAGAAAATGCTCATATATGCCACATTTAATGCATTGCTTTGTTGGAGATTTTAAATTATCCAACTTTTATAAAACAATCAAAATTCCGCTCGAGCAAAAATAAAATACATTCTGGAAGAATTTTCTACAATAAGAGGAAGTTAAGTAGATTATTTATAGTGAATTAGATTGAGTGACAGACTTTTGGTTTCAAATTTCGAATAGACTGAATTTTGTTATTTCATATCAATTCTATATCAACAAACAGCATAGTGTCGATCAAAATCTATACTTTGATAATATCGTTAAAACTGTCAAAACGTTGAATTCAAAATCAAACAAATACTAAAATTTATATTTAAAATTGCTCAATATCACATATGTAATCATAATCGAAAATTGAAAGACCATACTTTTCAAATTAATTTTGATCAAAATCGCGTTATTATTAATTGAGGGGCTAAATATAATATATTTATCCATTTTACATTCAATTTGAAAAGTTATCTTCAAAATATATTTATTCAATGATCCCCTTCAAAAATGTTTGGTCTTACGTTTCAATTATTTAATTGGACTATCCTCTTTATCATTATTTCGTTTTATCAAGCAGTCATCACGAACTATTGAACCTTTCAAATTATGATTGTTATTTTTTGAGACAAAATTTAGGTTTGAAGATTTATACTTCCGATTTACAATAACATAATGTTTTCAATAATTATTTTTATTGAAACCCAGTCATAAAATTTTCATAAAATCAAATGAGCAATTCATACCATTATACTTATCCATAGATAATGAGAAAGCTTTCGGATTTTTCAAACAAACGTCCGACGATGATAATTCTAATTTTTCAATATTTTTGTAAATTTCTGATTAAATTTTTGATTAATGACTCAATGGACATCTGACTCTAAAATTGACAACTACATCCTCGAAGAAATGGTGGGCACATTTAAAGGGTTTGCTATTTGGACAGCCATAAATGCAATAACTAAGCAAAAAGTAACAATTCGAATATTTCCCAGGGCTGTTTTGAAGTCTGAATTTCATAAAAATCTATTTGCTTCAGAGAAAATAGTTCTTAAGTCTATTAACTCGCCATTCATTCCACAGCTTTTCGAAATCATTGAAACACCAGCTGAATCATTTATAGTCAAAGAATACATACCTTACAATCCTATCTCTAAGGTTGTTAAGGAAAGCGGCCCAGTACCTTATATAATAGCTAAGAAGTATTTTCAAGAGTTTGTTATCGCGGTTAATCACTTACACGATCATGATTTTGTTATATTCGATGATTTTACTACGGAATCAGTTCTTGTTGACGAAAATGACCACATAAGAATAGTCGACTACGAATTCTTTAAAGAAGGATCCCTGCCACCGTATCATATCAACAATAAACCAGAGTCGTTACCATTATCCGGACTAAATTTCATACCCCCTGAAGTCCTTGCAGGTGATATTCCATCAAAGAAAGCGGATACATGGTGCGCTGGCATATTTTTGTATTATATAGTGGTCGGAGATTTGCCTTTCAAATCTACTGAGCAGATTTATAGCGCTTGTCCCGAATTCCCTCAGAAGATACCACAGAAGTTACAAGATCTTATAAATCAGATGCTCAGAAAAGATCCAATGCAAAGAGTTTCGCTTAGAGATGTTTTATCGAATAACTGGCTATCTAAAAATGAACTACAGAATTATTGCGAGACATTTGCCCTCAGAAATAACTACATAAACGCAGTTGATCCGTTCATATTAAATAAAATGGAACAGTTCGGATTAAACGTAGAATATCTCCCACAAATGTTAATGAGGGATGAAGATATGTATTTGACCTCGATTTATAGACAGTTCCATAGACAAAACGCAATTATGTGCGCATCAGCCGAAATAGATTCGATTCTGAGCAAATCTACTTCGAATGATGACATAGAAGTTTGCAAGAAGAGTAGAAGTAAGCCAAATCTCCCTATTATGCGCAGATGCAAACACGCAAACATCGGGATTTTCCTTAGACATCAGAGTTTTAAACCCTGAGTACTTTCAATCATTATCGTTAGATTAACCATTGAAATAAAATGTTTTCTTTCTTTCTTTAAAAAAAAATTGTAATTTTTTTTAATTTTTAATGAATAATCTAGGATTAAGTTCATTTTTCATCATATTCATGCTATGGACATTTTAAATTCGTATAAATAAGAATACGAATAATCGCAATTTTCGAAATTCTTGTCTTCTTTGATATTTTCAACAAATAACATCAAATAAGATAAGTGTACAATACACCATATAGGAAAAAAGCATTTTTATTACAATACAAACAAACATAAAAAATTTATACTAAATTTAAATTCAAATTTCCCATCCAATTCATTAGGGTGTTGAGTTCTTCCTTAACATTGATGTATTTCCAACTCTGAAGTTCATTTAAGAGCAATGAATACATCTGGTGTTCGTTTTTACAAATTAACAAGTAACAGTCTTCGGATATCCTCTGTAATGAAATATCTGCCTTAGTGATTGCTTGTTTCCGGGCCTCGATAAATGATTTCTTTTGATTAATGCGAGATTCAAGATAAGAAACTTCATTTTGAAGAGATATAAGTTTTTTATCATTATGGATTGGTGTAAATATATATTTTGCAGTCTGATCGTGAATCCGATCAATCTGGACTGTTAATTTATAAATCTGTGAATTTAATTCATCAAGTTCTGCCAATTTTTCGTTGCAATTTGGTGAAGTTTTGAATGAAGCGGCCATTTCAAGGGTGGTTTGAACTGGAATTGAATAGCTTTGGTTGAAAATTTGCATCCGACGTTTATTTAACTCAGTTTCGATGTCATTCTGAACAGAAATTCTTTCTTTTAATGATTTGATTTCCGTCTTCATGGATTTTTTATCTGAAAGATAGTTTTTGATTTCAGCATTTGTTTTCTTAATTTCTGCTATAAGATCGGATGATTTAGCATCTTCTGACCTGATTTGATTATTGATACTAGTTAACTCATTCTCCTTTTCTTAAAAATCAGAATAAGGAGCCATAAAGTGCTTTATAAGAAAGTCATGAATATCTAAATGCTGAAAATACTTTGTTTTCTGTTTAATTTCATTTGTTTGACTAATTATTTTTGGAGCTTGAAAATCAGAATAAGAAGCCATAAAGTGCTTTATAAGAAAGTCATGAATATCTAAATGCTGAAAATACTTTGTTTTCTGTTTAATTTCATTTGTTTGACTAATTATTTTTGTAATTTCATGGATTTTATCATTTATTGAGTTAGATTTATCGTAGATTTTGGATTTATAGTAATCAATCTCCCATTCTAACTGATTAAGGTCTTTATTTATGTTGGAATTTTGAATTTTCATACGATTAGTTTGGATTTTAGCAGAATTAGAGTCATAATTAAACAGTTTTGTTGTGAATTCGTCCTTCTTCATTAGATTTTTTTGCAATAAAAGATTTTCAAATTTGATTTTTGTATCTCTAATAGAATTCGATATCAGATTAGATTTTTCTATTTCTAGATTAGAAATTTTCTCTACAGATTCTATGATTTTGTCATTAGATTCATGAAGATCTTTCATTATTGTATTTATTGAATCTGAAAGCTGATAATTCACATCTGACTTGAGAATTAGGGTTATGTTCTTTGATTGAAGAGATAATTGCTGATAGTATTCTTCATAATAAGAAATTTTATCCGTTAATTTTTTAATTTTTGTTGAAAGTATTGTATCTTCACTATTGTTCAATGTTTCATACTCCAACAAATTGAGATATCTTAGATGCAAATCAAATTCTTCTTGATTCATCTTATTCATTATCGAAACGTAGTTTTCTTGAAATGCTTTAGCTTGATCTTTAATCTGTCTATCACAATCGCGCAATTTCCTTTCATAATCATTTATATATCTAGTTCTTTGATTGGAATATTTTATGAAATCTCTGATTTCTGCATTTGTTTGATCTGTTTCAAAAGAAAATGCAGCCAAGGAATTGAATTGCTTATCAACTTCCATTACTGACCGATCCAATGCCTCCTCAATGGTAACTTTTCGAGACATCGGATCGTTTCTCCTAAAATTTCGTTTAAAATTTCCCGATCATAAAAGTTCAATAATTCAATTATATCATTTTTTCCATTCGTTCTGTTAAATGATCACTCTTCTCAACCATGCGTCCTACCGTGTAATCCAAAATATGTTCATTGATAATTTTATCATGTTTATTGATCTGGTTTGACACATTATTGAATAAATAGTGAGGCATTAAGGGTGCACCCGTATGTACGTTTATTTGAGAGGAGGAGGATTACCCTCTCAATTTTGAGGGATTCGTTAGTTTATTTTCTCGATGAATATGCAATAAAATTTGATTTTTACCTTATCAATATACTTCATATAATATACACATGTTCATGTAAAAACTTTTTTCCAAAATCCTCAGGAATTAAGGGATTTTTGAATTTTAAGAATTTTTTTCGAATTTTTTCGAAAAAAAAATATTTTCAGAACAGCCTTAACGGCTAAGATTTAGGAACAATGTTAAGTAGGGATGCGTTAAACACGCCATTTGACCGGGCGTACATTTTTTTTTGTTCGCCCAAAAATTTCGCCATTTGAGAAATTCAAAAATTAAAAATAAAATTTTAATCTTGATTTTTTTATTTTCGTGATTTTTTTGAAACTTACATAAGCGATGAAATACTTTTTTTAAGTAATCGTTTATTATATATAAATATATCTTAATAAATTTAATTCCTTAAGGTAGAGCGTGTTCAAATTTAAAATCTCATACAATATTTTCTTAATGGCGTATTTTTCTGAGGTCGCCCAAATAAAGGCGAATTCAAAATTGAGAACTCCAAGGCGTATGGCGAGTATTCAAAAAGTACGCCACTTACAAAATATTGAATGTGGATTATCAATTTTTTGGCGTGTTCAATTTCAAATTTTGATATTTATGTTTATTTTATTCAGTATAATGCTAAGAATTAAAATATAAAATTCATAGAATTTTTTCTTTGAAAATATTTTACATTTTTATTAGACCACTCCTAGACTAGTCATCAGGTTATCCTCAGATCATCCTCAGACTACTCCTTAGACCCCTCCTCATCAGACTACTCCTCAGATCTTCCTCATAAGACTCCTCCTCAGATCTTCCTCCTGAGACTACTCTTCAGACTACTCCTTAGAGTCCTCCTCATCAGACTAGTCCTCAGACTACTCCTGAAACTACTCCTCAGATTATCCTCAAACTACTCCTCAGTCTAATCCTCAGACTCCTCCTCAGATTATCCTCAAACTACTCCTCGGTCTAATCCTCAGACTCCTCCTCAGATTATGCTCAGATTATCCTCAAACTCCTCAGTCTAATCCTCAGACTCCTCCTCAGATTATCCTCAGACTCCTCCTCAGATTATCCTCAAACTACTCCTCGGTCTAATCCTCAGACACCTCCTCAGATTATCCTCAAACTCCTCAGACTACTCCTCGGTCTAATCCTCAGACTCCTCCTCAGATTATCCTCAAACTCCTCCTCAGATTATCCTCAGACTCCTCCTCAGATTATCCTCAGACTCCTCCTCAGATTATCCTCAAACTCCTCAGACTACTCCTCAGATTATCCTCAAACTCCTCAGACTACTCCTCAAACTCCTCCTCAGATTATCATCAGATTATCACTTTACATATATATATCGATAACTAAATAATTACTTATTATACTTTCTTTATTTTTTTTTAATTTTAAAATAATATTAATATATCTTTCTACGTTTAATGATGAAAAGAGAAAGAGGAGTAAAAAGAGGAAAGAGAAAAGAAAGAGAGAGAGAAAAAAAAAGAGAAAGAAAGAAAAAAAAAGGACGGCGATAATTTTGTATTGTTTTGTTATTCGGCCGAATGGCGGGTACTTTGTACCCGCCATTCGGCCCAAAAAATGGCGTATTATTCTATTTTTAAACGGTCATGGCGTAAAACCGTCGCATCCCTAAATGTTAAGTATCAAAAAGAAAGGAGGTCTGATATAGACAACATATATCGTTGAAGGTTGAAAAAATCTCTAATATTTGAGCCCAAAATTTCAAATTTTAATTTTTTGAAAAAAGAGGCCACCCGTATGTACGTTTATTTGAGAGGAGGAGGATTATATTTTTGAAAGGGTGAAACATTATGAATATGTTAATTATATAATAATATGTATTATTATAAAAAAGAAAAAATAAAGCACGTTAAAATTTTTCTTTCTTAATTTTTTACAAAATCTACTTAGAATTATGCAAAATATGACTAAATAATTATAAATTTCAAGTTAAATTTTAATTTTGATAAATAATTTAAATTTCAAAATATCAAGTTCAGTTCGACTATGTATGTAGTAATTCCTCAATAAAGTGCCAAAACCCTATTAAAATATATGAACATTTTCAACATTTTAATGTTTTTATTTAAAAATTTGATGGAATATGAGCTTCAAACAATTATTATGTAAATAAAAATAATTAAATATATGTATTTATTCGTATTACAACCGTAGTAAGTCAATTCTTCCTTTCTTCTACTGAGTTTTGAATTTGATTTCGAATTGTAAAGAGATTCAAAGGGAAAATACTAGAGGATAAAAACTACCTCCATGAAAGGGTCATAATGGAGTCAAGTTGTATTTTTTGATATTTTTTGCTTTTCGAGCCTAAATAGGTAGCCAAGATAATGCCTAAAAATAAGGTTCTAAATTCTGAAGTTTACATGATCCTCTCGTGTGCACCCTTAATCAACTGATCATTTAGCAAATCTTTTATTAGTGATTGACATTTGATAAAGTACTGACCAAATCATCTATCAATTAACTAAATTTCTTTCTCAAAAAGTCATACAAAATTTTGCTCGAAAGTTTTTGTAATTAAGGGTTTCGTTTTGCTAAAATTGTCACTTTTATAGCATATTTGTTTTTGGATGTTTTGCGAAACCAAAAAAAAAAACTATGATATACAATGTGTGTGTAAAGAAAATACTTTATTTACTAGTTAAAAAATCATTTGGTATTGATCAAGTTATTTTTTCTGGATAAGATATTATATGGATAATTGGATAGAAAATACAATTATATAATCTTGTACCTGGTTTAATTAAGCTAATTGTCATCAGAAACTTGTAATTTTTATGAATTTCAGATTTTCTTTTCATTACTGCTTTTCTTAATAGGTCAAGTTCTTATTTACGTTATAAAGTATGATATTTACAAATATCAAGTTATCATGTTTTTTGAGAAATTATGAGAAACAAACAAAAATGAAAAAGATAGGAATAGCAATGAATAGTGATGTGGGTATAGAAAATGTAAGAGATATGAATGCAAAGCAATCAGTATTTAGGACATTGACCATAGATTTCGAAAAAAAAATGCTGCATATTGAGCGAAAACTATGATTATATTATAAGGCTGTCATTTAAAGCATAATGAAACTATTCCCTTTTCATTTTAATCGAATAAGATAGTAAAGATTTTTGAATTAGCTAGAAACTGATGAGATGTTTTCACAAATCAGATTTTTAATCTCTATAATGCATAATTCACTCAATATCTCAATTTTGATATTGCGAGATATTTTTGCTATCGGTTTCGCAATTTTGACACAATAGCAAGAGGGTTCTATAAGCATTATTATCAACGTAGAATCTGAATATCATATCAGAAAATGTCGCAAATCTGACATTTACCCGACCAAATAGCAAAAATAATTGAATACTTTTCGCAAAAACTTTAAAAATCGATAAAAATATGAAATATAGATATTAAAGAGACTTTTTATATAATATTCATAAAGATTTTCCAAAAATATGATACCGCAAAATTAAAAAAGTGACGTCTTGAGTGGAGTCAAAGGTCGAAATTGCTAGCTAAATGTTTTTTTAGCGAAATTGCGTATTGTACGTTTTTTTCGCAAAACGAAACCCTTATTGTAATTAATCTATTTATGATTCTGATCAATATGATCATATTGAAAAAATTGAATTCGACGTAAACTATTCATATGGTGTAAAAATTTTTTATTTCTGACCACTTCTGAATAATGGGTGAAGAATTGCCGACTTATGTCGATTTTCATGGTTTCAATGATTTTGCATACTTCTATCCCAAGCCTGTTATAGTTTGGACAATCGTAGGAACTGTTTTATTGATAATTACCATAGTTTCTTATATTCCTCAGCCTATTAAGATCATTAAAAAGATGTCTTCATACGGATTAGCTCCTGTTTCAACGTTTTCTTCTACAATATGCCTCTGGTTTGTTGTATTTAACGTTTTATGCTTAAAATGGGAAGATTTTGTAGGAGTTTTTCATCATTTAAACTTCTATACCTACGCAAGATTTCTTACATTTGCAAACTGCTTTGCACAGTGGTTTTTAATGTCCCAGGTTCCTTATCTGATCATGCTTTTTTATGATAAGGAAATTAGACCAGGAATGGACGAAGGAACTATTAAGAAAGGCTGGAAAGAGTTCAGATCTGTCTCAGTGATCTTAATGTGCATTTATGTTCCTTGTATTTTTATATGGGGCTTACTTGGAATGTATACAGGCTTTACTTCTACCGCAATTGATTACTTAGGACATATATCCGGTATTGTTGGCTTTATAATCGAAGTTCTTCAGTTTATCCCTCAAATTATCAAAACATTCAGAATGAAGAGCAGTGGAAACTTATCGATCCTTATGCTTGAGATCCAAGCACCCGTGAACCTCGGAAATGCAATGTTTATGTGTTTTGGAAACCATGAAAGTTGGACAACTTACGCAGCTTCAATTGCTGATGGCTGCTGGGAGTTCGTATTGCTTGCAATGTGTATCTACTACAATAAGGTCCAGAAGAGAGGCGAAGGATCAGATAATTCTGAAAATGAAATTAATCTCACAGAAAACGAAGTCAATGATGAAGATACTGGAGTTAAAGATGTCGAGAATCCATCAGGATCTGGTGTTGTTGATGTTGAAGGTAACCCAGATTATGTCCCTGATTAAGTTTATTTCTTTTGTAATTTGTATTGTTTTCATCTATTGTATAAAAATTTTGTAAATTTCTATCATTGTTGCGCTAAATTTTTCAATTTGGTTTGGAAATTTTCGAGTAAAATCTGATGAAACTTGAAATTTTGCTCATATACATCGTTTAAAGCTTAATTGCATCAACTTCCATAAAAATGGTTCTGTATCCAAAATAAAATTTTGATAAAAAAGTGACAAATGAATACGATTAAATCTCTAAAATTCATTGTTGGTAAAGTATTGGATGTTGTCTTCGGGCCAACTGTATACGAAGATGAACCAAATAAGCTAAATGATGCCATTAAACAAACTTATAAACAAGGAAAATTGTTAATATTACACGTTTATGATGGAGATACACCAAAATTTACAAGTATTGAACTACCAGAATCTGATTTTTTAATATTTAATACGAAATTAACTCAATCTGTATTTTCGTTTTTATTAAATTACAAAGTTTCAAGTATCCCATTCTGCGGTTGCTTTTATTGTCCATCAGATAATCCATCTGATTGCAAATGTATCCGTCAAATCCCAAGAGAAGAGGAAATTGCTCTAGTTTTTCAAAGTTTTTTTGCTTATAAAGACTTTCTTTTAGATCGCCGTTATAGAGAAAATAATCGTGAAATAATTAATGAACAAGATCAGCAATATCAAGAAGAATATCAAAATCAATTGGATTTCGAAGAGGAAGAATATGCTGAAGAAGAAGATATACAATATTTAGATAATTTCACAAAGGAAGAAGTCGAAGCAAGATTTTCAAGTTTACCTGAAGAGCCTTCAGAAAACGATCCAGATGCAATTACAGTTAAGTGCAACATAAATGGAAAAGCAAAGGTTAGGCGCTTTTTAATTACAGATTCAGCAGCTTTCTTATATGATTTTGTTGCAATAGATACCTTTCCTGAAATTCCATTAATTAGATACGGATTTCCTTCAATCCAATTAGAGGACTACGATAAGACTTTTGCAGATCTTCATTTCTCTAAGAAGGAAATGGTTTACGTTGAGATTTAATTTTTTATTTTTCAATATTTTATATACTATTTGTTAATTGTTCTTAAATCATATCTATCTATCGAAATAGTTTCGGTTTTCTTTTCTAACTCTCATTCGAACCTAAATTGAATTTATTTGGAAGGCGCGGTTTTTCAGAAAAAAATTAGTATTTAAGCAGAATGACAAATCAACACTTTATGAATACATAATTAACTCTAACTTTTTACGAAATGCACGTTTAAAATATCAATCATTGTCATGACTTCGATAGCAATTTGGGACTGCACAACATGTCCAGCAGCAAATATCGACTTCTTGCAACAGATAACAAAGAATACCAAAACAAATAAAATGAAAATATTTGCTTTTTCTGAAAATTCAGAAAATGTTCCAATGCAACTCTTCGAAATGCAAAATATTTTAGATGTTATAATCAGATTTGGAGAAATGGCATTGTTTGATATCGTTTCAGATGTTATCACAAGTATTCGCTCTATTAAAGAAGTAAAATGCATTTATCTTGCAACAAATAATATTCAATATTGGATTACCCCGATTGAAACCATAAAACCATCCGAAGTTCAAGCATTTACCGCATTATCACAACAAGAATTCAACGAAATTATTTCATTCTCATTTCTCGATCTCAAGAAATACAAATACAATCGGTGGTCAGGCGAAAAACAAATAGTTAATCCTATTAAACCACAGAAACTAAATCAGCCACAGCAAATTCCAGAGGAAGAAGAAGAATTTGTTGATGACATGCAATTACAAGAAAAAGAAGCAGAATCTGATCACTTTTCTCAAAATGAAGAGGAAGAGACCGTATTGGACTCCAATATCATTGAAGAAGAGGAAGATATGGAAAATGAAATTAATGATTCTAAAAATTCTTTCAATTCCTCAGGAGACATCAAACCTCTTGTCTCAATAGAGAACGAACAAATCATTGATCTAAGATCTCCTGCACCTGCAGAACGCTCAACCGATTTAATATCTAGATCTTCTCCATTACATTCTATATCGCAAACACCTCGCAGAGATGGTGACACATTCACAATTCCACATGAATTCCAAGCTCTTGTTGAATCGATGAAGGCAGTTGGAAAGGCTATGATTCCAATGAACGCATTGATTGAAGAATACAAGAAGACATGTAGCCAATTAGGCACTGGCGACCAAAACCTCTTAAATGTAATTCAAAAAGCGTCTGATCAAGGTTTTGTTATCTTTGACAGCACAATCAATTACATTAGATTCAGAGACCGTAAGATATCATTTTCTAAGATAAACTATGAGTAAAAATAACTGTTGATATATAATCTTTCATATGATTTTTTATCCATATCTTTATTTCCAAAGTTATCATTCTCATATAATCAATCATATACAGCATATTTAATTGTATTCACCCTTGAAACATAATATAAAAACACTTTATTCTACATCAAAGAGAAAAACAAATATTTATATTTTGTTATCAACTAATTAAGCCAATATCAGTTACCATTGATGATGCAGTTTCATCGTCTTCAAAATCATTTGTTGACAAAATCCACATGATAACTAATTTTGGAATATCTAAACAGAAGTTCAGAGTAAACTGTATAACGAGTTTGATGTAATTTAATTTGCTCAAATTTATATATTGATATTTCCAGATGTAGTTACTGTTATAAAATGAGTCACCTTCAAATGTAGCAAATAAACCAAGTACAAAGAAGAAAATGGAAACGTAAATGTAAATATGAAGCTTCCTCGGAATATATTTTTTGATGTTTGATAAAACTAGGCATATATTGAGAAGAATTAATGAATATAAATATAATGAACCATACAATAGTTCATAAACTAAGCCATAGTCCCTAAAGAATGGATTATTTCGTCCAACTTTTATATTTTCACCAATTGCGTAAACAAAGCATGCAACTAATCGTGCCAAATAGATAAAGAAGAAAATGTAATTGAAGTATTTCAAAAATCTGGCATATTCGATATTAAATGCTATTAAAATTGTTGCAATTTGAAGTAGGAACATAACAAATGCAAGTCTTGCAATTTCTTCCCAAATTCCACGTAGATGATAAAAATAATCGGATTCTGATTCGTGATAATAGAAATTGAATACGTATTGATCGTACCAATACCATATATTGTACACAATAAGGGCCAATGTATAGCACAATCCTGGCATAAAGTGGTTTCGTAGTTGAAATTTGAGCCTTCTAAACATTATTACCGAATAATAATAAAATGGAAGAATAAAATATCATAAGACAAATTACGGAAAGTGAACTCAAACAAAAAGTGACACAATGCATTTGCCAACCAAATAACTTTACAAAGCAAAAACTTAAATTACTTGTCAAGCTTACTATTCTTATTTTAACAATTAAAAAATTAAATTTTATTTTTTATTTAAAAAAATCATCTTATATCATCTGATATATATATATCTTATTTAAAAAAATCATCTTTGTCTGAATGTTAAACTATTCGGACAAAGTTTCCCGCTGTTTGCGAAGGAATTGTTGGCTATGATGTACTGATTCATGATCAGTACATCATAGCCAACAATTCCTTATACAAAGTTCAAAAACTTAGGTGCAATCAGTTCTGATTGCACCCAAGTTTTTGAACTTTCTTGAGGGAATGGAAGAGTAAGAGGTATACATTATGAATATATACCTCTTACCCTTCCATTCCCTCTCTGACAGCGGGAAACTTTGTCTGAATGTTAAACTATTCAGACAAAGTTTCCCGCTGTTTGCGAAGGAATTGTTGGCTATGATGTACTGATTCATGATCAGTACATCATAGCCAACAATTCCTTATACAAAGTTCAAAAACTTGGGTGCAATCAGAACTGATTGCACCCAAGTTTTTGAACTTTCTCGAGGGAATGAAAGGGTAAGAGGTATACATTATGAATATATACCTCTTACCCTTCCATTCCCTCTCTGACAGCGGGAAACTTTGTCTGAATGTTAAACTATTCAGACAAAGTTTCCCGCTGTTTGCGAAGGAATTGTTGGCTATGATGTACTGATTCATGATCAGTACATCATAGCCAACAATTCCTTATACAAAGTTCAAAAACTTGGGTGCAATCAGAACTGATTGCACCCAAGTTTTTGAACTTTCTCGAGGGAATGAAAGGGTAAGAGGTATACATTATGAATATATACCTCTTACCCTTCCATTCCCTCTCTGACAGCGGGAAACTTTGTCTGAATGTTAAACTATTCAGACAAAGTTTCCCGCTGTTTGCGAAGGAATTGTTGGCTATGATGTACTGATTCATGATCAGTACATCATAGCCAACAATTCCTTATACAAAGTTCAAAAACTTGGGTGCAATCAGAACTGATTGCACCCAAGTTTTTGAACTTTCTCGAGGGAATGAAAGGGTAAGAGGTATACATTATGAATATATACCTCTTACCCTTCCATTCCCTCTCTGACAGCGGGAAACTTTGTCTGAATGTTAAACTATTCAGACAAAGTTTCCCGCTGTTTGCGAAGGAATTGTTGGCTATGATGTACTGATTCATGATCAGTACATCATAGCCAACAATTCCTTATACAAAGTTCAAAAACTTGGGTGCAATCAGAACTGATTGCACCCAAGTTTTTGAACTTTCTCGAGGGAATGAAAGGGTAAGAGGTATACATTATGAATATATACCTCTTACCCTTCCATTCCCTCTCTGACAGCGGGAAACTTTGTCTGAATGTTAAACTATTCAGACAAAGTTTCCCGCTGTTTGCGAAGGAATTGTTGGCTATGATGTACTGATTCATGATCAGTACATCATAGCCAACAATTCCTTATACAAAGTTCAAAAACTTGGGTGCAATCAGAACTGATTGCACCCAAGTTTTTGAACTTTCTCGAGGGAATGAAAGGGTAAGAGGTATACATTATGAATATATACCTCTTACCCTTCCATTCCCTCTCTGACAGCGGGAAACTTTGTCTGAATGTTAAACTATTCAGACAAAGTTTCCCGCTGTTTGCGAAGGAATTGTTGGCTATGATGTACTGATTCATGATCAGTACATCATAGCCAACAATTCCTTATACAAAGTTCAAAAACTTGGGTGCAATCAGAACTGATTGCACCCAAGTTTTTGAACTTTCTCGAGGGAATGAAAGGGTAAGAGGTATACATTATGAATATATACCTCTTACCCTTCCATTCCCTCTCTGACAGCGGGAAACTTTGTCTGAATGTTAAACTATTCAGACAAAGTTTCCCGCTGTTTGCGAAGGAATTGTTGGCTATGATGTACTGATTCATGATCAGTACATCATAGCCAACAATTCCTTATACAAAGTTCAAAAACTTGGGTGCAATCAGAACTGATTGCACCCAAGTTTTTGAACTTTCTCGAGGAATGAAAGGGTAAGAGGTATACATTATGAATATATACCTCTTACCCTTCCATTCCCTCTCTGACAGCGGGAAACTTTGTCTGAATGTTAAACTATTCAGACAAAGTTTCCCGCTGTTTGCGAAGGAATTGTTGGCTATGATGTACTGATTCATGATCAGTACATCATAGCCAACAATTCCTTATACAAAGTTCAAAAACTTGGGTGCAATCAGAACTGATTGCACCCAAGTTTTTGAACTTTCTCGAGGGAATGAAAGGGTAAGAGGTATACATTATGAATATATACCTCTTACCCTTCCATTCCCTCTCTGACAGCGGGAAACTTTGTCTGAATGTTAAACTATTCAGACAAAGTTTCCCGCTGTTTGCGAAGGAATTGTTGGCTATGATGTACTGATTCATGATCAGTACATCATAGCCAACAATTCCTTATACAAAGTTCAAAAAACTTGGGTGCAATCAGAACTGATTGCACCCAAGTTTTTGAACTTTCTCGAGGGAATGAAAGGTAAGAGATATCCATTTCCTTTCACCTTCGTTCTCAATAATTAACTTATAAATTTTTTAAAGCAAAAAAAGTCTGATTTTTTTTGACAAGTAAATATATAGGGAATTTATCCGACCAAATAAGTGTCACTTTTTCGGTTCACCTCACTTTCCGTAACTCGTCTTACAACAAAAAACTACTAAAAGAATTACGTATATTAATGTACTTGGATGATTGCAATAGAATAGAGCTTGGAACTTGCATGTATTACGTTTTAATAGATTTCTAATGAAATACCAATTATGTAGAAGCATCTGTAGAAAAACTTTAAAAATTGAATGAATTGAATAGCTTTCAATTTCATTAGACTATTGGAAACAATATTCAGTACAATTAGGCTGTAAAGAGTACAATATATATGTATATATTGAATTAAGGGTATAGTCCACTAAAAATTTTTAAGTTTTGACAATGAAAATAAGCTCTGTGACCATGTAAATATATATCTATGCAAAACGAGAGGTTATGCCATAATTTTTTTTAGTTATCAAATTTTCCTTTTTTTTGAGAGAAGTCTCTCAATAATTTGAGAAGAATCTTTGATATAAAGAGATACACATTTGTAGAACGAAGTAAGTGTTTTCCAAACATTTTATATGTTCATCCTGTATAACAATATAAAGCTGCATAGTGCCATCTTGTGCGTTTGCTATTTTATGTACTTTTCATTGAGATAATCCCTCTTCTCGTGTGATTTTAACAGTCAACTCAATTTTAAAATAAAGATTTCATCAAAATGATTTCGAAATTAAAAAAAAAAAAAAAAAAAAAAAGGTATTGGGGCTTCCAGGGCTGCGCCCCTCTAGCCCCCTGAAGATGTTTAGTATAACAAGTAAGGGTCTATCGTCGCTACGTCACCAGGTCCCTCGGTCCCTCGGTCCCTCGGTTAAACCAACTTCTCTGAAAAAATGAGACAACATGACATTTTGACAACAGTCCAGGAAGTCTTAACAAGATAGAATATGAGAGAGGTCCTATAAACCGGAGAAAGTCTCATATAAACATCTGTCAAAAGCCGCTTTTTAACTTCACTTAAATGCCACGTAAGATACGTAAGAATATACGTAAGAGGAAGAGAGCATTGAAACATCCAATAGTAAGACTAACACCACAACAACAGTTGCAACAACAAATGCTGAATGACCCCACTATGTTGCAACAAATGTCAAGCAATCCTATGCTTTTAAACCGAGTTGTTGGTGCACAGAGTGGAGGTTTAAGAGCGGCACTTTTAGCGAAAATGGCAGGCTATGGTGGAGCTGCAGACGGAACAGCCTATAACCCTCAAAGTCAAATGAATTTGAGTTCACTCAAAAATCAAATAACAGATGTCAAAAAGTCAAACATAGACATACAGAAGCAAATAAGTGAAAACGAAAAGAAACTAGAATATGACAGACACACAAAGAAACTCAATGAGTTAAACGTAGAGAAAAAGAAGAAAGAAGAACAACTGAAAGAACTAAGTACAGAGGAATATGCGAAAAAAGTGTCAGAAAAAGCAACAGAAGTAGCAAAAATGGAACAAGATGTCATAAATTTGAAAAACCATACTACTCAATATAAAATACTGAAAGATGAAGAGATAAAACAAAAAGCCCTGAAGACATATATGGATAGCGATGAGTATAAAAAAGAAGTTGAAGCAAATGTAAAGGCAGAAAAACTTTTACAGTTGCAAAACCAAACCGTACAGTATGAAAACTTAGCACAAGAAAGTAAAAATAACGACGCGGCTATGCAAAAGGCAATGAAAAGCGCAGAATATATAAAAGCCAACAATGACTGGTTAGATGCCCAAGCCAACGCTAAAGCAGCCCAACTCATAGGGTCAATAAGGACAAAAATACAAGCGGATGAAGACAGTTCAAATGAAGCTTTAACAAATGCTGACTTTAAGAACGCCTTCGAAGCTCTTCATAGTAAGGTGAAACAAGTGAACGACTTCTCATCTGGAAAGAAACTGAAGTCTGAAGGTTTCGACAAAGAGTTAAAAGAAGTAGCACAAAATATGACGAAAATAACAGATGCAGCAACGAGACAGGCAGTTCAAAGTGCCTATGACGCCGTTAGAGCAACTGTTGTGGAAAGTCAAGAAAAAGAGTTACAACAGACCAAAACAGACCTAGTAAATGCTTTCTTAAAAACGAAAAGTCAGGTAGGACATTATGCTGCAGATGGAACATATGTGCCAGCTGGTGGAACTTATATACCACCAAACCCTCCAAGAGAAGCACCTGCACCAG